GGAAAATGGCACTGAAGGAGCCAGCCAGTGTGGGCAGGGTGAATCCAAGCAGCACAGAGCCAGTGTCTCTCCTGCCAAGCAACCTTGGCCCACTGGGAAGCGGTGGAGGCAGAGCAGGGGGAAGAAGGGTGGGTTGTGGGAAAGCATTTATTGCTGGTTACTGGTTGCTCTGTCTCCTGCTGGGACTTCCATGAAACTGGCTTCCTGTACTCCCTGTCCACTGATCTCAGTGGCTCAGGAGTCCAAGATGGCAGATCCATGTTGCGTTAGCTGATGGGGACCTCCACCCCATATCTCTCTTCACTCTCTGTTTTCTGTCAGTTTCTTATTCCATTCAGTGCTTGGTTGAGTTCTTTATATCTTCATGTGACACTTAGGGTTCCAGGATTGATGTTTGTATCTGTTTTACTTAGTTTTTGGGGCCTTTGCTGTGGAGGGATGGCATGGTGCTTATGTCTGCCTCCAAGAGATTTATTTTTCTGTTTTTTTTCCTCCTTGTTTCCTTGAGCAATTTCTCTCACGATGTTTATCTGTCTTTTTTTCTCTATGTTAATCCCCCCTTTACTTTTGCAATATCTATGCATAGGTATTGTTAAGATTCCACTCTAATTCGTAATGTAGAAAAAAAGTTTGTGTTCCAATTAAAAACTATGCATCATCTATAGGATGCATTTCTGGGTTATCAGATTCTAGTCCTGTTCATTGTCTTTGAGTTATTTTGCAAATTTTTCCTTTAAACTAGTTGTAACAGCTGCTCTTCATATCATGAGTAAAATGAGTTCTTTTAACATGTGCTCATTTTTGTATTTGTTTGAGAGCATGATTTGACGCTTTTTTGACAATTAGCTCTTAACAGTTTTGGAGGTTCAATTGAGATGCCCAATGGATTCACCAATGAGAGCCAGGTAACCTTTGTCACAGGCAGTGCACCACACTGACAGTTTAAGCCCAGGCACATCTTTTCTTGATGCCCAGAGGTGAATCCAGTGTGGCAACATAACTTAGCCCACTCTGTTTTTCTAATTATAACTTTGTTTTCTAATTTTGTTTTAAGTTTATTTGCAGCTGATAAGTTGTTTGTCACTGGGAATTTGGTATTATGGTTTGACCATTTGATGATCTCTGTAAATGGATTAATAGTTTATAGAGATCTTGTCTCATTGGGTGAGAGATGACAGAGGACTTGCTTTGTTAGTCTTTTCTGATAGTCTATTTGTTTCTTTTGACAAGCAAGAGAACAGCTTTGATAAGGACCAGTGAGTTGTAATTCTGTGTTTACTCTTGACCCATAAATGAAATTCTAAAACTGAAGTTATAAGCTCCCTTTGTCTAAGTCTTCATGTCTGTGTAGCTGTATTTCAGAAAGATCTTTACATCTAGTTTTGTGAATGCATATTTTTCTACCTCTGGTTGGTATTAATCAATTGGATTATAAATTCTCTTAAATTAAAGGAGCTCTATTCTGATCAGCTTATAGAGATAAATAAGTGCTTATGTAGAGTATTCCTAAAATTCCCAGATAATAAGGAAATTGAACTTCTAATACATTCAGTGCACTAGATTTAAAAAGTATTCTTACAGAAATGAACTCAGAAACGTGTTAAGAATTCAAGTTTATGTGATTTGGGTAAATATTTAGGAAATGAGACTAGTTTAAGTCTTCTCTGATTTATCAGCATTAAGTATTATATATGTGTAGACTTTTATCCTACTTGGGTATGTTTTTCTTAAACTTATGCAGTTTTGCTGATCAAATAAGCTAGCAATACCCATATCCATTGCCTTTGAGTTTATTCCAACTTATAGCGACCCTATAGGACAGAGTAGAACTGCTCCATAAGGTTCCCCAAGCTGTAATCTTTATGGAAGCAGACCACCACATCTTTCTCTCATGGAGTGGCTGGTGGGTTCGAACCACGAATCTTTCAGTTAGCAGCAGAGTGCTTTAACCACCGCACCACCAGGGCTCCTTAAGCTAGCATTACTTCTACTTAATCTTTAAAATAATGAAAAATGTAAATTTGTGTTTAACCAAATTGAGTCATTATTTGGCAAAATTTTACTTCAAAAGTAATTATGTTTTATCATATGTCAACTTGGAGATAATTTCCAAGATCTTTAGGTAACTGAAAACTTTAGGCTGATACTGAATTGAGTTAATTAATGCATATTCATTGGATGCCTATATCATTTCTAAGTAAGATAGAATACTGGTACATTGGTTATTGTCATGGATTGAATTGTGTCCCCCCAAAACATCTGTCAACTTCTGTCAACTTGGCTAGGTCATGACTCCCAGTATTGTATGATTGTATAATGTGATTTCCTTATGTTTTGTAAACTCTATCACTATGATGAGGTTATATGTGATGAGGTTTACTAGATTAGATAGTGTCTTAATCCAAGCTCTTTTGGTATATAAAGGAGAGAAGTGAGCAGAGACACATGTGAACGTCACACCACCAAGAAAGCAGCGCTGGGAGCAGAGCGCATCCTTTGGACCTGAGGTTCCTGTGCGGAGAATCTCCCAGACCAAGGGAAGATTGATGACACGGACCTTCCTCCAGAGCTGACAGAGAAAGTGTTCCCCTGGAGCTGATGCCCTGAATTTGAACTTGTAGCCTACTGGACGGTGAGAGAATAAACTTCTCTTTGTTAAAGCCATCCACTTGTGGTATTTCTGTTTATTTTTTGCCACCTTGAGAAGTTGTATAAAGTATGGCTGTAGAAAGTCGTGTTGTGTATTCATGATTAGCTGGACTGCAAAGATGCTGGTGTATATTTATAATGTTCAAGGCTGTCCACTTCTCAGCTTTTTCTGGAAATAGAAGTTATTTTGGTTGAAATTAATAATTAATATATGTTAATGATATTTTATTTAGGGGCAATAGTTTCAGAGAAATACACCTGTGTATGTACTTTTATTTGTCACGGAAAAGATAAGCTTTGTCCTAAAGGATTGCTGTTTTTAGGTCTCTAAGCCCCTTTTCCCTCTTCAAGTTTGTGGAAGATGCCAAGGAGCTTTATTATGGGTCATAACTATTGATATGGAGCAGTGGTGGTTCAGTGGTAGAATTCTTGCCTTCCATGCAGGAGACTCAGTTTAAGCGCTTGGCTGCTAACTGAAAGGTTGGCAGTTTGAACCCACCCGGTGGCTCCATGGAGAAAGGCCTGGTGATCTGCTTCTATAAAGATTACGGCCAAGAAAACCCTGTGGGGCAGCTCTCCTCAGTCACGTGTGGTTGCTATGAGTCGAAAATTGACTCGACAGCACCCAACAACAACATGCAGGAGACCTGGGTTCCATTCCCGGCCAATACACTTCATGCACAGCTACCACCTGTCTGTTAGTGGAGGCTTGCGTGTTCCTAGGATTCTGAACAGGTTTCAGTGGAGCTTCCAGACTAAGACAAACTAGAAAGAAAGGCCTGGTGATCTACTTCTGAAAATCAGCCAGTGAAAACCCTATGAATCACAATGGTCTGATCTGCAAACAATCCTGGGGATGGCACAGGACTGGGCAGTGTTTCATTCCATTGTGCGTGGTGTGACCATGAATTGGGGGTCAGTTCAACGGCAGCTAACAACAACTACTGATATTTACTATAGTGAAAGTTAAAACTGGGAAATTTTAATTTTTGATTACTTGTGGATTTATTGGGGCCTGGTGGAGCAGTGGTTAAGAGCTCAGGCTACTAACCAAAATGTCAGCAGTTCGAATCCACCAGCTGCTCCTTGGAAACCCTATGGATTTATTTGACGATAGCAACAATGAAAGCATTCATGTTAATAACATCTTAGCGGTATTATGAAATTAGTTCTGACTTTGAGTACCCACTGACACTTAAAATAAAGTATCAGTTTGTTCTAGAATGTGAAAGAGTGTAATAAAACATAAAATTTAGAAATGAATTTTATTTGCCTTCGTTTGTAATACCTGAGTCGAAAAGCTATAAAATGTGTTACAATCTCAGCTAAGTGTGTTTAATTTTGATGGGTTACTTCCTGCTTTACTGTTTATTGCCTTCAACTACAATATAAAGGGTTATTCTTTTTCCCTCTACCCCTGGTATAATATATCTAGATAACAAAAATTCTGTGTTTTATAAATAACCTACTTAGTCCCATTCAGAGAGTAACTTCCATCTCTCTACTCAAACCAGGGCTGTGGCTGGGAAGGAGGCTATTTTGAGGAGGTGGGAAGCAGAGATTAGGAGGAAGGATATGAAGAAACACTTGGTATGGTTTTTTGAGTCTTATTTCCCTTTCCCATTGCCATTACCATGGAATTAAAACACAGCACTCTTCTGCGTATATAACTATCTATTAAAAGATGGCCTTGGAATTTATGGTGCACACTAGACCAGTAGGGGCTTTGTTTAGGAGCAATAGTTTCAGAGAAATACAACTACGCATGTACTTCTACTTGTCAAGGCGAGATTAGCTTTGTCCTAAAGGACTTTTTTTAGGTCTCTAAACCTCTCTTCCCTCTTCAGGCTTATTGAGGATGCCAAGAAGCTTTTTTATAAGTCATAACTACTGGGGACATAAACATCTCCAGGACAAAAGGAGAAATAAGCAGGGAGCTGAGAGGGAAGAGGCGAGCAAGAAAAGAGGGCAGAGAGGTCTAGAAACTGAAGAGGACTAAAGGCTCATTCCTGGGTCTCTTCCTCCTGTCTCCAAACTTTCGCCCCTTATGGCCAAAGACCTTGTTCCATCTGTCAAAGATGGACACACCTCACCTGCCTGAGAAAGCCCAGAGAGAGGGGAAAAAGGAATAAAGAGTACTATGGGAAGGAATTGTGGGAGGAACATTGAGAGAAGCCACTGCTGTACCAATGCTGAGGTCTCTTGTCTCTAAGCCTAAAAAGGCAATAGGGACCTCATCAGCTTTACTTGCTGCATTTACTCTCTGAGAGAATGATCAGATTTAGCCAGCAGAGCAGAGAAAGAAAAGGAAAAGGACTTATGCAAGGTTTGGCCAGATCTTGAGTCTTGCTTTATGGTCTGTGCTTGCACAGGAAGTGTTGGCATTTGTTGCATTCATTGTTGTTCCAAGGTAAGAAATCTGTAAGAAAATAAAACAGATATTTAAATCCATTTTGTTCTATATTGAATTTACCAGCGTTTTCTGGGTCTTTTGCATGGAGTAATGGATAAGGTATTAACTTTCCTGACAGAAGAAAAGAATTTAAACTTCACACATGGTTGCTGAAGCTCCACTCCAGCACTGTTTTTGAGGGAAGGCAGGGCTTGACATGAATTAACTGAAAACGAGGAGCTCTTTTGTGTTTGAAACAGGATGCTGTGAAGATCTGAGGGTGATCTTTCTTAAAACCCATAGCTGAGAACAAAAGGCTCTAAAAAGCTCCTGTTCAACGTTCAAAGAATTGGAAGCGCTGAGCCAGGGTTTGCTCAGAGGCTCCACTTCTTCCACCTCATCCACTTGTGAAGAATGACTGAGAGCAAGAGGAGGTGGCCTCCGCTAGTTCTCCACCGCCCCCGCCCCCCACCTCCGAAACCAAGCTCCACAGAGTCACTTGTCATCCTAGGATGTCTGCAGCAGTGTGATGAGTTGTTTCTCAGTTAGATGTCTGTGTGGCCTCTGACCCCACAGGCTGGCCCTGGTGCAGTGTGTGTGTTGGGGTAGAATGAGAGCAAGGGGGAGGTGGCACAGCCAGGCAAAGGGGGTTAAGGAGCACCTCTTGAAGCTCCCAGTTCTCAGGAGGTAGAACGGGTCCTGCTCACACCCATATCCATGGGGCCCAGAGCTGAGGCTACAGAGGGTAATGAAATGGGCACTACAAGCTTGCTGGGCACTGTCACTATGGGACAAAGAGCACATTTGCCCTGTGGTCTTTAGCCAGAATCTGCTACAAGAGCTGGTTGAGTCTGATCTGGGGACATCATTGCTTAAGGTTGCTGCTTGGGACTGGATCTCTCTTTAGTGGATCTCCTTGAGGTTACTACCCATTGAGCCCAGGGATAAGCTAGAACACCAGCTTCAAACAACCAAGGAGAAATGTCTGTTTCTACCCTTTTCCTCCTTTCTTCAACACCAGACAGGTAAATGCAGGGAAGGATGTATGTGAGAGACCATATCCCATCTCCCTTCATTCCAGGCCACTAGAGTCATGAAAGTCATGAGCCTAGTGCTTAGCTGCTAACCAAAAGGTTGGAGGTTCAAGTTCACCCAGAGATGCCTCAGAAGAAAGGCCTGGTGATCTACTTCTGCAAAATCAATCATTGAAAATCCTATGGAGCACATTTCTGTTCTGACACCCATACGGTTGCCATGAGTCAGAATTGACTCAATGGTAACTGGTGAAGATGATTAGTACTGATATTATCCCATTTTTATAGAGAGGCATCTGAGACACAGAGAAGAAATTTGATCAAGGTCACACAGCTAAGTGGGGAGCTAGAATTCTAACTCAGGCATTCAGAATGCGGACTGCAAACTATATTGATTATAAAATTTCTCTTTAAACTATAAAACCCTATTTATTGTTAGTAAATGTCTCTAAGTGAACTAGTAGATAAACTTGGAAGCACTGTGAGATACAATTTCCTTAGGGAGCCACAGGAGAAGCTACATTGTGGCCTAAAGAGAAGAGGAAGAAAGGGTGAGAGAAAGTGTAAAATGCCCTGTGGGTCTTTCTGAGTAGATATGAAAAAGAGCAAGTCCAGTCACACAAAGAGAAAGAATGTCTGTGTGGCTGTGTATTGAGACATTAATATGTCTTTTGAATCTTAGAGAAAAGAAGCCCTAGTGATGCAGTGGTTAAGTGCTCAGCCGCGAACTGAAAGGTTGGCTGTTTGAACCCACCAGCTACTCCACAGGAGAAAGATGTGACAGTCTGCTTCCATAAAGATTACAGCCTTGGAAACCCTATGGGGCAGTTCTACCCTGTCCTATAGGGTTGCCATGAGTCAGAATTGACTTGACGGCAATGGGTGGAATCATAAAGAAAAAAATTAATCACTGAATTTGGGGTCAAAATCCATTACACAAATATAAACTGACAGTGATAGGACTGAAGGGACTGTCCTTTTAAAGTCTACCTTCCACAAATTTTTTTCTAATTCTTGCTTCATTCCATGTGCTTCTCTGTGTTGACAGCCTGCATCTGATAGCTAAGAGCTGAGCTGAGTAAATCTGGAAAAGGAAGGGAATCCAAGAGGTGTGATGTTCTTAACAGATCGTTAGACTTATGGCTCCCAGTAGTATGACACAGGCAACTTGTTTATTTGGAAATTTGCTGATACGAACATGGACTGGCAGGGAAAGATATTCTACTGTGTTCTAAAAGCTGGTCTGATGTCCATCCTGAGATTCTGATGTTGCAGGTCTGAAAAGAATCCCTGGAATTTGAACTTTAAAAATGTTCCTCAGTTGATACTCATGTGGCATTGAGCCTATCTTCTAACACTTTTATTTTATTTTTAATTTTTTTATTGTACTTTAGATGAAGGTTTATAGAACAAATAGTTTCTCATTAAACAGTCAGTACACATACTGTTTTATGACATTGGTTAACAACCCCACAACATGTCAACAATCTCCCTTCTCGACCTTGAGGACCTTTTTTTTGGTGAAAATATACATAGCCAAAGTAACACCATTTTGAAAGTTTTTAAATGTACAATTCAGTGACATAGATTACATTCTTCCAGTTGTGCTATTCTCACTATCCTTTTCCAAAGTATTCCATCACCATTATCTTCAACTCACTGTCCCATCAAAACTTTTGAGTTGCTGTTGTCAATTTGATCTCACTTAATTCTTTTTTTTTTTTTTTTGTACCTTAGATGAAGGTTTGCAGAACAAATAGTTTCTCATTAAACAGTTAGCACA